GCCAGGAGGAGGCAGGAGAAGAGGGAGGGTAAGTTGCTTCCTCCCCGCCTCTCCCCACCCCTGCCTGCCTGGGGCCAGGGAGGGCCTTGGTGGGGCTTCCTCGCACTCCCGCCGGCCTTGCAGGTCCACCCCCGGGCCCCTGATGTCAGGGGGTGTGGCATATGCTAATAAATTATGCTAATGAGTTCCCCTAGCTCTTTTTCTACTAAACGACCCCTGGTTCCCTCTAAGCTGAGTTAGTGTGAGCTTGCTCAGTTTTTTTTTAGCCTCCAGCTCACACATTTTTGCCTTCACTCAGGATTAGGCAGGAGCCCAATCGTTCGCTCACCGCTTGAATGCCAGGAGCTCAGAGTAGAATTTTTGCTCACAAGACTCCACAGCTTTAGAGGGTGCACTGAATGCAGGGGCTAGAGATAATATTTAAGTTCAATTGTTTTTTACAAGCTCTTTCAGTGGTGGCCCGTTTTGAAAGGATCCCCCTGGGTCTGCCAACTGTGGGGTCCTTCAACGGAAATTGAGATCAAGAGCTCACTTGGGAAGGGGGGGGGGGAATGACTTGAGACGAAGTGCATGCCCTAAAATATGAGACCACACTCCCTCTGCAAAGAAAGATCAGTTATGGTGGAGCAGCAGTTTATGAAGAGAGAAGAGACTGAATTTATACCCTGCCCTCTGCTACCCGAAGGAGTCTCGGAGCGGCTTACTATCTCCTTTCCCCTCCCCCTCCCCACAACAGACACCCTGCGAGGTAGGTGGGGCTGAGAGAGCTCTCTTAAAAACTGCCCTTGAGAGAACAGCTCTGAGAGAACTTGTGACTGGCCCAAGGTCATACCAACAGCTGCATGTGGAGGAGTGGAGAATCAAACCCGGTTCTCCCAGATTAGAGTCCGCGCTCTTAACCACAACACCAAACCATGGGAAGAGCCAGGGCTGGATCGCCGGACCACATCTGGAGAATCCCAGGTTCGGAACCCCCCCCCCAATCGCCTCAGAGCAACCAGCTCCTTCTGTCTCACCTACCTCCCAGGGTTTCCAGGAGATCGAGTGGAAGAGAGCCATGTATGCCACCTCGAGTTCTATCACGGAAGGATGGGATGAAAAAAAAAAACCCCACCTGCGATCAGTAAATAACAAAATAAATCCACTTCATCTTTGCATCGGACTGGACGAAAAGTAACAGTCGCGTGAAAAAAGTACATCAGAGAAGACACGAGTGATTGTGAGTTTGTTTTCTGGCATAGAGGATTTTGATTTTTGTGTGTCTCCCGACGTGTGCCCTGAGCTGGAGAGCCCAGGCAAGCCCAACCTCATCAACTCCCGAAAGCTAAGCAGGGTCGGCCCTGGTTAGTACTTGGATGGGAGATCAACCGAAGGAAGACCAGGGTTGCGAGGCAGAGGCAGACAAAGGCCAACCACCTCTGAATCTCTCTTGCCTCGAAAACTCTACGGCAGGTGTTGCCAGACTTGCTTAAACTAAGAGCTACACGGAATAAATGTCAGATGTTTGAGAGCCACAAGGCATGAACAAATATAACATGTTTTTAACTGGGAAACATGCAAATTTGCTTTTTTTAACATTAAACGAGACTGCCAAAAACAAAAACAGATATTGATAATGATATTTATTTGTCCAACGATATTGATTTGTTTGCTAATGATATTTACGTGTCTAAGAGAGAGAGAGAGAGAGAGAGAGAGAGGTGGAAAGAAAGAACGAAAGAGGTGGAAAGAAAGAGAGAAAGAGAGCGAGAAACAAAGAAAGCAAATAGATGAGGAAGGGAGGGGAAGGGATGAAGGAAGAGAGACAGAAAGAAAGAGAGACAGCGAATAGATGGAGAGCCTACCGGGAGCCACACAATATGTGCGAAAGAGCCGCCTGTCGCTCCCGAGCCACAGTTTGACCATCTCTGCTCTACAGGGTCAGCGTAAGTTAGTTGTGACTTGATGGCAAATAAATAAATGTGAGCGAACAGGGGTGGTGGGGGGGAAGAGGATATGTTCACAGGATCATCTCTATCCCGGGGCGAGCGCCGAGCAATGAAGCGACCACAGACAACATGGCTAACCCCCTCAAGACCAAACCCAGAACTCGCAAGGATCCAGGGCGGTCGTTACCAAACTGGGCGTGACCCGAGTTCAGATTCCAAGCTCAGTCAGCAACACCGTGCGCCATCCATCTCACACACTGGCGCTGGACTCGGGCCAAGGAGACGCAGGTTCGAATCTCCCCTCGGCCAAATAGCCTAAGGAGGAGGGGTCCACCCCCCCCACCTCACCATAATCTCCCTCCCTCGCAGGTTTCTTGTGAGGGATGAAGCCAAAGGCTGATCTCTGCCTCGAGGAACTTAAAACCAAGATTTCGATCGGGGTTGGGAGGGAGAGATAATGAAAGCGAGGAGGAATGAAAGTCAACACTGTAATATGATCAAACTGGGAAATGAATTTCAAGGAGTGGCTCAAAAGAGGGCGGATTTAATAGGGATGCCAACCAACACGTAGGACCCGGGGGTCCCCTGGAATGACAGCTCATCTCCAGGCTACAGCGATCAGGTCTCTTGGAGAAAACGGATGCTTTGGAGGGGGGACTCTGTGGCACTGTGCCCCACTGAGGTCCATGTCCTCCCCAAATCTCCAGGAGTTTCCCAACCTGGAGCTGGCAACCCCATGCCCCACCCTTAGCCAATGGCCAGGGTGAACCTGGCGACCCTGGGGGGGTGATGGGGGTACCACTCATGGAGATGTCCCTTTCTGTCCCATCTTGAATGCTCACAAGGTGTTTCCCCTTAAGGTACGGTACATCCTCCCCGATGGAAGATTATCACTCCACAGTGCCATTAAAAAAAAACAAACCCAAAACAAACCTGATTTGTCAACTTCCCCAGCCCAATTTTTCTTTGAGAGCTATTTTTGGTTTCCTGAGCAAGAAAGGAGGGAGGGACGGAAAAAATCAGATGTACTTCCTGGTTCACACGCTGAAACTGTAGGGCTCCAGAAAGGGCCCCATGGTGGCTGGATTTCAAATTACACCCCCCCACACCAGTTCAATGAGCAGACAGGGCCATGCCGGAGGGGTGAAAGGGGTTGCAGGCATGCTTGCTAAAAGATCTGCCCAGGAGGTGCTGTGGCAAAGCCGCAAAACAGGCCACAGGTGAATTCTGGGAAGAGAAATATATGTACAAAAAAACCCAAAACACGCAGAATTACAGTCGCCTTCACTCCCTCTGTCCCCTCTCGGCCCAGTTATGATAGGAATCTCGGTTCGCCAGACTACTCCAGCAAACAAAAAAAGGGGAAATTTAGCTTTTATGAAAGGGGGGGGGAGTGAAGGGATGACGTTCAGCCAGGCACCCGGTCTTCTTGAACAGACCGAGGGAAGAGTCCTCTTCCTCCAGATGTGACTCACAGAAAAAAGGTCCACCGTTTGCAAAGGATGCTGAACAAAACAAAGAGATCGGAAAAAAAAAAACGGGGGGGGGGGGAGGCCTGCAGACGGCATGGATGGATGTTTGTCCGGATTGTTTTTTTTTAAAGGAACACAAAGAGCACGTTAGGAAAACGGGGACTGTGACCATAGTGGGAGGGGGAGCTTTTGCAAAAAAACCCACCAAATTGACATTGCAACAGTTGGTTAAAAGGGAGCTTTTGGGGAGAAGGAAGAACATCCGAGCGGATGGCAAATAGTAAAATGGTCTTTTTCTCCCCACCCCTGTCAACCTTGCAAGGGGGAATTCAGCACATGGAGGCCTCATCCTGTCTGGCCCACGACACAGAGAGAGAGAAAAGCCGAAAAGGGCAACACTTCTAGCTCTTTCCTTTTGCTTCCCATCTGGATGTTAAACTGCAACAACAACCTCCCCTCCAATGCTTGCAAGGATTGGGAGGGGGGGGGCTAATTCCAACCCTACCTCCTCTGATTTCTCTTCCTCTCTTAGGTTCCCCCTCCATAAGCCCACCCATATTATGGCAGTTCCCAACCTGGGGAGGGGGACGGGGGAGGCACAGAACCCCCTGGGAAAACTCAGCCACAGATTTCGAAGAAAACGATTCGGCTTCCAGTCCCCAAGCGATTTTGCTTCCCCCCCCCAATATCATCATCCCCCCCAAAAAAACCTCGAATCCAGCAGTTGAAACGACTCACATGTGTCTCTCCCCGCCTCCAGTACAGCAGGAAAGTTCTTTTGTTGCAAGAAACCTATGTTCTAAAGATATATATATATATATGCCAAGGTAACAAGGTCCAATCGCTTCCTCCTTGTTTGTTTCTCAAAACCAGGAAGAAACAAATACGTTCAACATGTAAAGGAGAACAATCACTCCACTTCATCTCCCC